ACGCTCGGGAGGCTTGCCCTGCTTCTCTTGCTTCCAGCCCTGTTCCTCAGAGAGAGCTACCTTTTCTTTTGGCTGTTCTGTTATTACTCAGTTCTTTTTTATCCCTGTTGCCCAAGTAATTTTGCATATCCCATTTTCTTCCTGTTTTCCAACTTTATCTGTTATGTATTAGTTAGCTACCTGCTCACAATTTACAAGGGCCATTTGGCATTTTTATATGTTCTCCCTGTCTCTATGTCCCCAACCTTTTCAATACTGTTGTATCACTGTTTCTGTTAAATCATTTACAGAAACAATGTTTAGATAGGATTAATTCCATTTCATTCTTGTACAAGCTTTTATTTGAAGTTAAGTGTTCTTTTTGTTAGTTGCATAGTTTTCTACGTACATAGCTTTTCCTGTTTTCTTTTGCTACTGGAGCCTCTCATAGTCTTCTGTTTGGACTGACTCCTGTCTTGAGCAGAGGAGAGCTATGTGCCATGTGTGTCTTCCTTCATCATTGCACATGCTTTTGCCTCTCACTCATTCCCTGTTTGCTGCTTCCCATGGAATCGTGGAGTGGAGTCTTCAGTGACTCTGGGAGCACTTGAGGGTACACTGTTGTTGTTGTTGAGGTATTGGTTTTGAACTCAGGGCTTTGTGCTTGCTAAGTCAGCACTCCCACTCATGTAACTAAAGTGGTAACAATTTGGGTTTTAAACAGTTTTCCCTTTAGAATTTTGAATGTGTTACTCTATTACTTTCTGTCTTTAGGTGTTGTTACTGAAATTTAATGTCACTCTTCCCATTGTGTCCTGTTTGATTCTTTGGAAACTTTGGGTTCCTCACTGTTCTTTATTCTTGCTGTGATTATGTGTCGTGAATCTTTAAAAACTCACTCTTGAGGTGTTGTCCTCTCAGTATGGAGATGCATGGCCTGCAGCCCTGGGAACTTTAAATATTGCCTCCATCTATCGTCTGTTATAATTTTAGTTGTTGTGTTGAAACAGGAACTCACTCTGTAGCCCAGGCTGGCCTCAAGCTTGCGATCCTCCTGCACCTACCTCCCGAGTGTGAGGCTTGAGGCCTGTGCCACCATGCCTAGCTGATCACCTTTAAACTGATTTTTTCATGATCTTTAAAACAATTTTGTGCAAACTTTAATCCCAAACTCCCAGAAGCTCTTTTTTGTTCTTTGAGTGTTCCCTTGTTATAAGCATTTTGTTCTTGTTTCATAGATGTGATATCTTTTTTTTTTAAGAGTATTTATTTTTTCCTTTTAAAGTTTTCTTTATTCATTTCTTGAATGTACCTTTTTTTGTCCTCTTTTTTTCTTGTTTCTCTGGCTTCAAGTTGAGTAATTTTTTCAAATGTCTGGTGATTCTTGGTGGACTGTTTAGACTTGAAAGTCACATGCTGTGAAGAAGTCCTTGTGCACAGGCTGGCTTCTGACTGGTCCACTTTTCACTAGAGATTTCAGGTGGCAGGCCAGCTGCTGTGTCAGATGCCTTCAAACATCAGCATATCCCACAGCACAACTTGTCTTCATATGGTGTCCTGGCACTGGGCTGGGTCCCGTGCAGTGTGCTTTCAGTTATTCAAGTGTCCCATGTCCTCGGCCTCCCCTGGATCCCTGCAGGCACAGATTAGGCAAGAAAGGAAGAAGCAGGTGGCTGCGTGGCGTGAGGTTGGGCTCCTTCTAGAGCTCTGTTCTGCACTTACCTTCCCCAGGTGTTTCCACTTGCCCCAGGTGGAGCTGCTGCAGCCTCCTCTTTCCTGCTAGTTAGGGTACAGCCTTTCCTGGCCTGCACTCAGTCCTCACTTGTCTGCCTTCTAGAATTTGGTCACTGTCCCTCATCTGACATTTCCTCCTCTCCAGTTGTGTCTTTATGGGCTTACGCTTTGAAAAGCATTCTTAGTTGTCATTTTAATGAGGGACATGGGGTGGGGGAGATACTGAGCCTGTGTGTTCAGCAGAGTGTAAGCTCTTCCCTGCAAAGAGGCCTAGGAGCACTGCCACCGTGGTGCGTGTGCTGCAGGACAGTTGAGTATTGGAAATTTCTAGCTCACAGGAGGAAGGATGGGGATCCAGAGGAGATTGTGTTATGGGCCGGATTCTGTTCAGTACACGTGAACATGGCTATGTAAAAAGACTCCTTTCAGTTCCACGTACAGACTCTTACCAGGCTTGGGTAAATCATTTCTATAACATTTATCATTTTATTCCAAATATATATTCCAAATACATACATATATTCCAAATATATGTAATTCCTCTGCTTTAACTAAATCTTTCTGATACGTATTGTTAGTGGTGGCTGACGGTGACTACTTCTGTTCTTAAGAGGCTTTAGCTTAGTTTATGCAGGACCTTCAGGATGTGTGCTGTTCCTGTGCTCTCAGTACCTCTTGTGGCTAGTGCAGAGGGTTCAGCCCCTCTGGATGGATGGTGAAGTTAGAGCTGGCTGAGTGTGCCCCCATGCAGCCGAGTGACGTCAGGGAAGGGAATAGACCTGTACCTCCTACTGGATTTTTGAAATCCTCTAAAACTTAACTTCTCAATTTTAGTTAGAGCCATCAGTGTTTGAAAACAAGCTTTTGGATTTTTCTCCAAATTGGTTATTTCTTTCTCCAATTTTATCTGTTTTCATTTTTACTTTTTTTTTGGATTATATATATTTTCACAGGTTCTTGGTTCATTTGAACTTCAGTTTTCTTATATCCATAACAATTTCTAATTAAAATGTTTGTGTGACGTTAAAACTAACTCAGAATGATCCACATCACAAAGATACTTCATGTTCTTTCAACAATTTCTTACTCACTGATTTCATTGTGGTCTGAAATTTCAAATTTGGTTTGGAATGTAGTATTTATTTAAACCATCCGTTTTTAGTGATTCATGTCTTTCTCACCTCTTAAAATAAGCCCTTGGCCGATAGAGTACAGAGGTTTAGTGAAAAGTGGTTGCGAAAGTCAGATCTCCAAACTGAAGAAAGAGGCAGAGCTAGATTATTCTGATTCTACTGTCCAGTCCATCTGTAGATAAGAATTTTATCTTGAGTTATTAATTTTGTACAAAAGCGAAGCAGGTGCTCATCCCTCTGTCGTATTTGACCTGTTTCTGAGAAGCAGCCTTTTTTCTTACCTTACATTTTCTGTACTGTTAGAGACATTTCTGTGTCCAGGGCAGCCGTAAGCCATGGTAATCGTTATCACCCATGTGAGTTGTTTCTGAGATTCTGATATAAATACATGACTCTGCTCTCTGATTCCCCAACTTTGCGATGGTGGTTTGTTGTCAACGTGTAATTGCAAAGGCTTTCTTGATTTTAAGGAGGGAAGCATGCAGTCATAATTACTCTCCTGAAAACGTTTCTTGAGATGAAGTTTTCACAGACTTCTTATGCATGGCATCCGTGAGTTTCTTAAAGTCAGCCCTAGTTGACAGTGACTCTGGGAACATGGGGGCTTCAGAGACAGCTGTGTGAGACACTGACAACCCCAGGCTCTCCAGCACCTTCCACTACTGCACAGCATTCATATGTGGCCAGACTTTTAAAAATGTACTTAGCTTACCTACCTGCCATTTTTAATATTTTCCAGTCTTCTTGAAAAAAGTTATTGATTTGACCTCCTACCTAAAATAATGTTCTTTAGATCTAAAGCTGGTTAGACATATTATCTGACTGAGTTTACTGAAGCAAAAACATTCCATAACCTTAACCTTTTCCCTGACCCCCTGCTTTTAACAACTGCCGACATAGCTTTATGCTGTTATGTGACCATGCTCCGATGAAATCTGTCAAACAGCTCCTTGAGTTATTAGGCTGTCTGAGTCTGACCTTTCTGCAATCAAAGATATATGACTTAAGGGCTCGGATTTGCCATGGCAACCGCTCCAATTTGCCGCCGTGAGAAAAGGTCTAATTGTTGCAGAAATTTAATGATCTAGAGCGACATCAGGGCTGTGAGATTTTATGAACTGTTTACGCCGTCATTTTCATTCTGTTAATGCAGTCTTTTCTTGTAACCCATTCATGGCTAGAGCATAAGCGATTGTGTTTTATTTAAGATATCAGCGCATGTCGTGAGGACTGTATCACAGAGCATGTGGCCATATCCCCACCCCATCCCACCCCGTCTGAGAGGCCTCCAGTGTGTGCTGGCATGCATTGCACTTCCAACATCTTCCTGATTGTCATTTTTTTCAAAGATATTTTAACTGCTTACACTTTTTTCCAGACCACGTCCATCATGGCGTGGAAGGCACTGTGCCTTCCGTCCTCCTCTTATCTGTTGGGAAGCAGTGGGGACCACAGGCATCAGAGCACTCTCCAGGGCCCTTCCGAATCCTGTGTTTGGGGAGCAGGAAGGAATCGTTCACTTAAAATTCTACGGAGAATTCTCTCGCATTGTGGATGGTGCCGTGGACTGCTTAGCTAGGACATTTCCACTTCAGTCCCAGGAGCATGAAGTACTTGTTGCATTTGTCCAGAATGGACAGAGAAATTCTTTAAATTATGGTTTTTCCTTCAAATAAACTAATGGAGGGTGACATTTAAGGGGAATTGAAAGGGAATGTATTGTATTGTTAAGTAGTCATTAACATTTAAACTCAGAAAATGGTTGATAATGTATCATAAAAAAATAAGTGGTGCCTTTTCAGCCGTCTGAGAATTGAGGGATATTTTTTGTTCAGAAAAAGTCTCACTTGTTGTCCAACGAGACAAAAGTCACCTACGCAGAACTGCTGTGAAGCCCCGCACTTTATGAGGTGGCTCTGCCAGAGCTCAGGAGCGCCGGGCAACACCTGCAATCTGGGCTTGAGTGCCATACAGTACGGCACAAGCGGTGGGTGTTTTATTAGCAGCAGTGCATCTCAGCTCGCACACAAAACCACGAAAAGCCCACGGTGCGACTATGCTTGGAAGTCATTGACAACGCCTTTTTATCACGTTAGAGTGCCACCATCTTACGCGTGCCATGTGTTACGTCAAGGTTCTGTTTGTTTGTTTCAGATGTAAGAAAAACAATAGATGATTTAAAGAAAGTGATGAAGAACTTTGAATCCAGAGTTGAATTCACAGAAGATTTGCAGAAAATGAGTGATGTAGGTATTTGTTTGTAGTCTTACATTCTTTAGAAGATATTTCTAAGAAGTGTTTGTATGTTGAAGATCTCTTAGAGCCAGGGAACAAATTGATGTTTCAGATGCTTTCAGGCATCCTCCTTGGGTTGTATGATTGTTTTTGTGGTAATTTTAATATTTGGGGTTCTGTATTGTTAATATGTTTATTTTGTTTGCTTAAAAACTTAGGCTGCAGGTGACATTGTTGACATAAGAGAAGAAATTAAAAGTGACTTTGAATTTAAAGGTAAGCAGTGAGATCGCTGTGTGCCGTTGTTTAGGTGTTTGCCATTTGTGTTGATTTTTAAGGGGTGTTTGTTGGATGGCTGGAATTTATGCTATAATACTTTAAAAAACTCTTAGGACACAAACATTCATTTCACTCACCTGTTAATCTTCATGCAAACATGAGGGTAAGTATGTTTTGATGCAGAACCTGCTGTCCACTCTCCACTACTGCATGTGAGTGCTGGGTGGCTTGACTTCTTCCTTTCTTCTCTCCAGTGAGCTCAGAAGATGTCTGTGCTAGACATGGGTCTGTTCTTGATTTCACCTATGAACTTGGCCAAGCCAGAAGATTCCTTGTGCGAGTTTTTCTCTTTTAAAACCATAGCTTTAGATGCTGTTTGCTTTAGCTGCTCCTTTCATGGAGTGTGAGGGGCAGCCAGCACACGCAGGTTGTCTCCACGTTTGCCAGGCTGCAGCTTCTTCGCCTGCTGTCAGTTTTGAAAGCATTACAGTTTATAATTTCCATTGTACAAAACTTGTAGCTTTATTTTGATTTTTAGAGTGCACATTTTGTAGGTAACTGAGGAGAGTTGGTTGAAAGTAAAGCTAACTTTTGAAGCTATGTTCTAGCCATGGTGCCTGTACTGATGTGGCCTCAGGAGTAACAGGAGGTGGTGGAGGCTGTGGAAGGTGACCTAGGGGACAGGAAGGAGCAGGGGGGATGTCGTGCACACTGCCAGTCTGAAAGTCTGAAGAAAAATTCTCACCACAGTTTAGCCTGTGCTACTTCACAGACTAAGGCTGGGAATCATAATTTTGATCTTTTTGTTTGTTTGTTTTGTTGTTGCTTGTTTTGAAACAGCATCTCTGTGCAGCCCAGGCTGGCCTGAAACTTGCAATCTTCCTGCCTCAGCCTTTGAGTGCTGGGATTACAGGTGTGTGCCACGTCAGGCAATATTGATATTTTGAAATTTCGAATATTGCTGTGATTTGAATCTGTAACAGAACTCGGTCAGATGGTAGTGCAATATCTGGTAACACAGCATTTTAGACTTCTCCCATTACTTTCTTCAAAGTTTTGATTTGCTCTATTAAGAAAAATCTACTTTTTAAATGAAAATCAGGTAGTTTTGAGTTCACATGTGATCCATCTCCTGCCCTCCTATGACAGTGACAAGTAAAATAAGGCAGAGATGTAGATGTATAAAATTACAAGAGAACGTCCTGAGATGAGCCTCTATCCTTCTCCTGAGAGGTCTGCTGTTAGCTGTGCTGCTGTGTGAAGAGAGCATGGCCTTTCCTGTTGCATTAGATGGCAAATGGTGTTGCTTGTGTGAATTTGTGATCGTGTGCAGTGTGGAGTCTCTAGAGCAGCGCTTCACAAACCTTGCCGTGCCCGTGTGTGCTCTGCAGTCCTCTTGAAATATGGATTGTGACTCAGCAGGTGAGGGAGGCCCCAGCGTCACATTCCTCAAATGCTCCCGAGGGTGCAGTACTGCAGTCCATGGCATTTCCAGTTGCAGGACTTTGACAGATGCTCTCCTGCGTCTCTCATGTTTAAAAACCATGCCCCGTCTCACATCTCCACCCCATAGAAAAGCTCACCAACTCAGGACTTGCACCTTGTCGGTGTTGACTATCAAGTCATGTCTTCCAATATTTCTTTCATTTTTAAATAGCAAAACACCGAATTGCTCATAAGCCTCATTCTAAACCCAAAACTTCAGATGTTTTTGAAGTGGATTTTGCCAATGACGTAAAATCCAAGGATTTGCTGGCTGATACAGAACTGTGGGCCCGACTTGAAGAACTAGAGAGGCAAGAAGAGTTGCTGGGTGAGCTCGACAGGTAGGTTGCGACCAGTTGTCCTCCCAGAGACCGTTTCTGTACTGCTTCTGCATTAGTAAGTGGTATGTGTGTGCTGTAGGAGACGCAGAGGGCATGGAAGATTAAATGAGTCCTTCCACCCCAGGGGAGTGTCGTTTCTGTGACGTGCTTCTAAGACTGTGTGCGCATACTTAAAACACTATCTCCAGCTTTTGTTTGGATTTCAGCTGTATTATAAATAATAAAGCAATTATACCTCATTGTTGTCTTTTAATAATTATGGATGCATTAAGGTTTTTTTTTTTTTTTTTTTAAGATGTAACTATTTTATTTTTGTGGTGCTGGGGATTGAACCCAGGCAAGTGCTCTACCACCAAGCCACACCCTTTACTCCTAAATATTAAATTTTAAATGATGTGTTTTTATACTCAGAATAATGTTCTACCTTTGAGTGACTTGTTAAAAGGAACATTTGCTTTGAATTTAAATTCCATACTGTAAAACATTTCTCCTTGCTTTCCATTTGCGAACTTTCTGTTTATTGAGAGGCAGTTTGTAATCTGGTCAGGTAGTTCTGTGTACGAGAAACTTCTCCAAACTGCTGTTTGAAATACACATTAGTGCTTACTTAGAGTCGTCAGAGTGCTAAATGAAGTCTGCCACTACAGAAGTTCCTGTATTATTTTGCTTAAATGATGCACCATACGCAGTAATTAGTTTCTGTGAAAAATAGGACAAGAAGCACAAAAGCTTTTCCCCTCACATTTCCCCTATAAATCCTTAGGTCTTTCTGATGAACTGGAGCTATTTCATTTTTAAAACCATACTTGAATCCTGTGATCTTAGTCATGGCTCCCTTCTATTTTTGCACGATGGTATTTTGTCGTAGTGCATTTTTGGTTTTGTTATTTTTGTAAGGTCCTCAAATCCTTTACAGAATGTACATGATAAATGGTGCATTTGTGTGCATATGTAGAAATCCTTTATCTTTAAAAATCACAATACACGTGCTGAAGACACTCTGAGGATAGAAATAGGTCATGAAAATGCTGTAGTTCTGGGACTTCAACTAGAAATTCATATTCTTTGGATTTCTTATTGTATGGTTGGTATGTACTTGTATTGTGTCTGGCCAGTATCCAAAGATAAAAAAGTAAACCTCCTATATTGTGCTTATGTTTGAGCAACTGCAATCTGCAGAAATAGCATTGGAACTAGTTTTTTTTAAAATTTATTTCAAAACATTTTTTTTCTTTTTTTAACCTAGAATTTTGGTTTAAAAAACTAGTCTTAAAATTTGTCCACTGAGAACAGAATCTGTGAGATTGTGGTGTGTTTGTCTCATCTTGCTGATGCTCTCTTTCTTGTTACTAGTAAGCCTGACATGGTGCTCACAAATGGAGCAGTTGCTGCCTCTTCTGAAGAGGAGGGGAACGATGAGAGCCCAGCGGGGAGCGGGACACACCAGGCAGCAGAGCATCTCCAGGAGGTGGGACGCTCAGAGCCGTCATACAGCCACAGTGATCCTGAGTCCCACTGCTCAACCAACGGGTCAGGTTCTTACTACAGTGATGAAGATGAAGATGATGGTGATGGTGACAGTGATGGTGACACTTCAGGGGCTGGAGAAAATTCTGTACCAACCATATATTTTTCTCATACTGTTGAACCTAAGAGGGTTTGTATACTTTTTAACTTCACTAATTTTGTGTGTAGTTTGATCATCATATATCATCTGTGTTTTTAAGAGAAAAATACTAAGTGATTAAGATTATTGGTCCTGCCAGACAGGAAAGCCATGTTTGTCTCTTGTTCTGACCAGTTCATCATGAAGGAAAGGGTGAAGAGGACTCTAGTCACTTAGCTGGTGTTGGCTCATTGCTCTCACACGCCACACAGGCTGTGAGCTGCTGGGCTCTGGGTGGCGATCAGTGTTGAGTGGCACCTGCTGGGGTTCCAGCTGCCCCACTAAGAACTCTGCAGTCACTAGGTTGTGGCAGTGGGGTGTGTTGAGGGTGCTGAAATGACTATAAGGTTACTTCAGGAATTGTATTATCCCAGGTGGTGGTTTTTCTACATGGACATCAAACACATTGCATCAGGAGCGCACAGGAAAATCTGTGTGATGTAAAGGTCCATTGGTTTTCTGCAAAGTAAACATAAAACTTGTGAGAGGCTGAATTTGGAGCTTTGGGGTATCACCCTTTCCTTTAGGATCAGAGCTTTTCATCCCTTCTGTGCTCAGTGGTAGAGTTCCACTGTTGGAAATGGTCAAAGCACACTGTTATGGTTGAGGAAGTTGGGCTCCCTGCAGTCCACCTGCTCCGTCTGCTCTGTGCAGTGCTCTACGGCTCCAAGAACTCATCCTCCTAGTTCTTCCTTCTCAGGGAGACTTACGGCCTAGATGACATGTTGCTGCTCCACAGCAAACAGGGATGCCTCCATGTCTGCTAAGTGTGCTTCCTGCATGCGTCCTGGCTCCCTGGTCAGAGTCTCGGATCTGCCATTATTAGTCACTGAGACATGTTTAGAAATGATTTCATATTTCTTAGGCCCCTAAAGCTATCTCTGCTCCAGTATGAAGTGAAATAATGATATGGTGTGTATATTTCTCCAATACATTGAACTAAAAGTATCCTTGGAATTCTTTGGAAAAGTTGACTGAGATTGGTAGCCAGAAAAAAAACGTTTTGTGGTTCTGTTTCCTGCTTTCACTTTTTCTTTATTCACTTAGATGAGACAGAAAAATAAGGGCTCCTTTCAGGAGTGTTAGGGAAAGTGTGTAAATGCCCAGTTACAAACAGGACAGTAATATAAGCACCAAACACAGTGGCTTTTTACGCTTTAGTCTGACTCATTTTTTGAAATCAGAAGTGCTTTGAAAATTCAGTTGGACTGGAGATAGGGCTTAATTGATAGAGCGCCTGCCTACCAAGTGTGAAGCCCTGAGTTCAAACCTCAGTACCACCAAAAAATAAAATAAATGAAAAAGTAGATAAGCATTGTCTGGTACTGTTTTTCTGACTCACGTGCTACAGTCTTGCTCAGTGTTTCTTTTGGTAATTGTGCTCTTTGTTTTGAAATACATGGTTTATGCCAGAAACTTGTGTCAAAGTGGCAGGGAGAGGCAAAGCACCTAGTACATGCAGTGTGCAGGCAGCATGCTTTGCGTCTGTACAGCTGTGAGGACCGAACACCAGGGCTGGTCGTTAGTGGGAAGGTGCGATCCCCAGCATGGAAACACGACACAGGATGTTCTGACCCTGTCTCTTTCTGCCGAGTCTCTAATGATGCACTTCATCTGTTTTCCTGTGGGTCTGGATTTGATCTCTCAAGGCTTGTTGTTTTGCTATTAAACTGTCAGGTCCGAATAAACACTGGGAAAAACACCACCTTGAAGTTCAGTGAGAAGAAGGAAGAGGCCAGGCGCAAGCGGAAGAGTGGTGGTGGCCACGCTGCCCACGAGCTGCCCATGATAAAGACTCCCGCAGACATCTACAGGTGAGTGGCTCCGCGCCAGACACAGGGCCAGTCTTGTGTCTTCTTGTTAGCGTTTTCATGCCCTGTGCTTGTGTACGGTAGAAATTGATAAGTTGATACGTGGTATAAAACTGTATAAAACTTTGGCAAATGAGGCTTTTCTCAATCACCTAACACCTGCTTACAGCAACACGTTGCTTTATAGACTTTTATGTGTGGGGTTGCAGAGTCACTGTGAGTGTGACTCTGCACATGTGTTAGATGGGGTACTGTCCCAGGAAGCTGGAGGGCGCTGTCTAGGGAGGACTCACAGCTGTCCTCAGTCCTTCCCGTGGGCCAGTTCTTGACGTGAGGGCCCTGGCCTTGCAGAGCCTTCGTGGACGTGGTGAACGGCGAGTATGTCCCTCGCAAGTCCATCCTCAAGTCACGAAGCCGGGAGAATAGCGTGTGCAGTGATGCCAGTGAGAGCAGTGCCACCGAGCTGGAGGAGCGTCGGGTGCCAGCAGCGGGCAGCGAGGCCAGCGAGAGCCCTGTGGATGGGGAGCCTCAGCAAGATGCACAGCCAAGGTTTGCAGGGACGCCGGAGGTACGTGCCGTTCATCCGCTGTCCTTTTTGTCATTGCAGCACAAGGACCTGTGCTTGCTTGGCAAGCACCTTGCTCCTGAGTGGCACCTCAACCTTTGGGGTTTTCTGTTTTCTTTTTCAGATAGCATCTTGCTCTACCTTGCCTGGGCTGGTCTTAAACTTGTCACTCTCCTGCTTCTGCCTCCGAGTAGCTGGTATTACAGGCATATGCTACTACACCTGGCCTCATGTAGTGTTTTTGATCAGTTTTTGCTATTTAATCTGAAAAGTCACATGATCTCATTAATTCTGTGTACTTTTGTGCTTTTTAAAATAATAATTTGTAAAACAGATTAATAGCCACCAGGCAACACAATAAAGATATTGTGGTATTAAAATAGTCGAAAAAGTTTTTAAAAAGTATTGCCTGTCTTGAAGTTTTGTTTCTGTCTATTGAGTATTTAAAAACAGCTTAGGTGGCATATGTGGTTCATTTTTGACTGGAAAATCATTTAGCAGTGTATAGACACAGTCTAGTTATTTTCTGCTCATTTAAATATCGGGTCATGCTCTTCTCTTTAGGGCTCTGGCAAAGTTTGAGAACACATACCTGTCAGGTAGTTGTGCAGGGCCCTGAAGGCTTTGGCCTGCGCCAGTGACACCTGACTCTAGGGGTTGGGGTCATTGTCTAGTCTAACCCTTGTCTCAGAAAAGTCAGAATGCATGTGCACACTGCGCCCAGTGTTGCGGGGTGGACGAGAGGGTGGGGGTCTTGAGATGAAATAGGAATTCCTGTCTGTGATGTACTTGGCTGTGGTCCCCACGGTACTCAGGCGTGCTATGTTATTCTTGTGTTTTGCTGGGTGTTTGAAGTCGTCAGTTTCAAAAGCACTTAGGCCTGGCTGGGCACGTGCATGAAATGCCAGCTACATTCAAAGACAGAGGCGGGAAGAGCAAGGGTTGAGGGCAGCCCAGGCAAAGTTAACATGAGATCCTATCTAAGCATAAACTGGACGCAAAAGGACTAGAGGTGCTGTTCAAGATGCTCTGAGTTCAGTCCCATTTACGATCACATGTCTAGAAAAATACATGAGTATAAGCACATAGGAGAATGTCACTGAGCAGACCAAGTGGTGCTAACCACACTAAGTGGCAGTTGGGGATTGAGATCACTCTCGGTTAGGGCCACCTGGGAGACTGGGATGGCGCTGTGTGTGTGTGTGTGTGTGTGTGTGTGTACAGTGGTCTTAGGTGGCCTGAAAGTGTCTTTCTTTGCTTGCTCGATTGCCACAGTGTTAGAACACAGGCGAGGGGTGCAGACTCTTGCTGGTAAGGATTTGAAAGCAGAGCTTCTGTCAGGACGTCAGGACTTAGTATGACATCGGGATGTGTCGCCTGGTTAGCTTTTCATTTTATATTGAGCTGTCTCGGTGGATACCATGAGTGTTTAACAACAAAATGCATTACCCATGATGATGGCAGCCACTTTGAAAGACATCATTTCAGTTTCTTTAAATGCTAGAACATGGTGTCTTTCAAAAGTGTTTTTAAGAGCTGCGGTGTGGCTCAGCAGCAGAGCGCCCACCTAGCAAGCGTGAAGCCCAGTTCAAGCCCCAGCCCTGCCATAAGTGTTTCAAGGTAACGTGAGTGCTCTGCCCCAGTCATGATGAAATGGGGCTGTGAGAAACGTCAGTGTTCAGTTGGAGCCCAGGGCAGTCAGGAGGGCTGGGGTGGGGTGCAGGTGCTACTTTCTAAACTACTTAAGTGACACTTTGTCTGAGTTAATTTCCAACTCCAAGTAGACAAAGGGAAGCAAACTTCTATGAAACCTCACATGTCAAGGTTTGGCTTGTGCATAGTAAATTCTTAGAAGATGCAAGGGAAAAGGTTCCAAATAATAGAAAACTTAAAAATAAAAGAGGCAGCTACTCCTTATTCTTAAGTACTTTTATGTAAATAGGCAAAAAGGTATTTGCAGTGACTTGCACACATTATTTAATTGTTCCATTTGAGCATGCGTTCCACCAGAGTCAGCTCAGCAAACACCTTTTGACATTAAGGAGAAACTGTGCTGTTCTTATTTCCTTCACTGAATTAATTGTACTAAAAGTTTAAACTTGTTTATTCTTACCAGTCTCAGCACTTTCAATTTTTAGTTTTCACTGGCTCTTAAATAAAATTGAGGAAAGATTAAATTAAAAAATTAAATCTAATTGCGTAAATGAGCACCACTAACAAGATGTTGGTGCTGGGGACACTTAGCCAGTGGCCCCACAGGAGCCTGCCTGACACCACCGTGCAGTGGTGTTTATTGTGACACTTTTCCTTTCCATAATAAGTGGTGGCATCATGGAATGTGTAAGGTTGGCAGCCTTTCACTTATCATTGTTTTCTTCCTTTCCACATAAAATAATGCATTTCACATTCTGTGTTCTTATATGTTCTATAAAAGTCACTTATATTTGGTGGTACAATTAATTAAGAAAAATTTGAATGGTACTTGGTTTCTCTGAATAATTAGCATTTGCATGTTAAAGTGTCATCTATTCAAAAATCTTTTAGTGAACAGGATTCCTAATTGGTGAAGAGAGGGGATGGAGTTTTGCAGTCATCTTACTTGGGTCTTACTACCATGAACCTGCTTTTGTCTTGTAGGCATTTTCTGGAACCGTAATAGAGAAAGAGTTTTTGTCTTCCTCCTTGACCCCACACCTGGCCATGGCCCACCCTGTACTGCCCACCATTCCAGAACGGAGGGAAGTTCTTTCAGAAGCACCGGAGGAGCCGGCAAAGAGGGTTTCCAAGTTCAAAGCTGCCAGATTGCAGCAGAAAAACTAGGAAATGGGGTTACACCCTAAGCCTAGGGTGCATTTTTAGAATATGTATAGCAAAATATGTCCCATGTTCAAAATGAGGCATTCTGAGTTTATCCTTGTCAGTGGTATTAAAAAGTCAAAGTCAATGTTTGAATACTTTTAAAATTCAGCTTGTCTATCCTCTGATACTGTTTGTGTTGGTCTTATGATGCAGTGATAGCATTTCGAATTATTTTTCAAAGAGTACTGTTCTTTGCAGCATTTTTGTTTCAAACTAAATACAGGCAGTTTTGTACCAGCTGTGAAGTTGTGCAAACATATGGACCATTTTAAAAGAACTTTTAAAATTTGAAATCGATTCAACAATTATATCACTTGCTTTTGCATTTTAAAGGCACTTTAAAAAAAAAAACTCCTTGTAGGTTTTGCAGCTAGGTGGCTCTTTAAAAAACCTTTGTCCTTCGAACATCAGTCTGTAATCGTGAAGGCAGAAGCTCCATGTGCTCAGTGGGAAGGCTGCTGTGACTGGAAGAATGATATTTTGTAAAACATTTTTTTCAAGTAAAAGTTTTATGAAACTTGGTCTCTAAAGTGTTGTGAATTTTATGATTTAGAATTGAGTATGAATGTCTTTGACTTATCGTGCTACATACACTGCACCCAGATTCTTGAGTACTTGCCCTTCCTAGCCTACTTTTCCCCTCGTTCATACGCTTATGGCCAGGTTATCTTTTGGGAGAGACAGAAAAGTTTTCTAGACACTAAAAAAGACTGGAAGATAACAGGCTTTCATATTGCCAGCATTTTCATTCTTCAGGATTACTTTGCTACTGGTAAGGAACTAAAAAAACACACATACTTGTAGTAGAGCTCCTCAGAGAGATGCTCAGCCTCACACTGGAAGTCATCCTGCGAGTGTCGGCTACCATCAGCTTCACGTCCTTAACAGTGCTGCAATGAGCCGTCAGCGCCAGCCGCCTCTACTCCCGGCTAAGTGTTCAAAGGTGTTAACACAGCTTCTTTGATGACCTCTTGCTTAAGCGAAATTTTATTCTGTGCCACATGCTTTCTCGTAGGACTGAGCCCTTTAGAGATGTGTCATTTCAGGAGTACTGCAGTTAAGTACTTGTCCATGTTTGTGACACGTGAGCTTGCTCTGCATTGCTGCAGTCTGTGTTGCTTCCTCCACCAGGTCTTCCGCATGAAGCAGCAAAGAAAGTATTCAATGACATTGTTTTGTGTGCACACTGTCCCACTCGGTAGCTTCAGGCTTAGTTTTAAGTTGTGACTCAAATTGTACTTTCTTTTTCTGTTTAAGTTTCATTGGGTCAAATTGAATTGTCTGTCCTAAGCCATTGTTAGAGCAGGGGGAGCAAGAGATTGTCTTTTAAAACATTTTATTCTGAACTAATTTTAGTCCTACAAAAAGTTGTAGCAGCAGTACAAAGATTTCCCATGGGCCCCTCGCCTGGCACCAGTGGCTCATGGCTATTATCTCAGCTACTCAGGAGGCAGGGATCAGGAAGAGTGAGGTTCGAAGCCATCCCTGGTAAATAGTTCACGAGACCCTATCTTGAAAAAAAACCCATCACAAAAAAGGACTGGCAAAGTGGCTCAATTGGTAGAGTGCCTGTCTGGCAAACGTGAGGCCCTGAGTTCAAACCCTGGTACCACAAAAAAGAAAAAAAGGATGCTATTCTCCACTGGCCTTCATTCTTTTCAGTTGACAGGATGCCCTTGGACACGCCTCCGGGTCGGTTTGCAGGGTCTCCCATATCCTTTTCTGTGAAGATGCCGTGCTCCATGGTGTATACACATGTCCCACCTTTGCAGTCGTGTTTGATGTAGGGAATAGCACATGTGTCACTGGAGGTGTATTTCAGGGCAGAACCCTGTCAGGAGGACCGGTATCGAGGATATCTGCATTTCACTGACAGTGTTTTAAATAGTGATTTGGGGCAGTAGAGTGCCTTAAAGGAACTCAGAATCATTTATGATACTAAGTTTTATACGGCTGTGTTCGTTTCCTAATTGCAGTTTTTTCCAGTGCATGCATGTGATTTATAACTGTCTTCCATGCATTGGAAAATTTGCAGTCGGATGAAATTCAGGTATCTTTTTTATGCACTTGTCTTCTCCATATGCAGCAACTTGTCAGGGGCTGAGGTGTGGTGGAAGAGCACCTGCCTGGAGAGTGGAATTCAAACCTCAGTGCCACCAAAACAGAAGCAAGCATACAGAAAAGAAACGACTTGTTAGGGGTAAAACTAAGCTTTTTCCATGAGTGGTGTGTGGGGGTGGCGTGTCTGCCACGCTCAAGGAAAGGCTGGTTAGAATCCCTCAATTGCAACATGAATTGTGGTTTCTGAGTTTATTCCTTGGTCAGTAGGCAAGGTTCACATTTAAAAATACTTTCTCAATTATTTTGATTTCATTGTAGCATAACGTGAGGAATTACACACAGGATGAAAGTTCTCCCTGCCTCCCTCACTAATGTTTCATCTTCCCTTCTCCGTCCCCTTTTAGAGATGGGGGCAAAGTTAGAGATGAAGTAGTGTTTTTTTTTTTCTAATCTATTTTTTTCTGATGCTGGTGATGGAGCCTAGGGCCCCATGCATGGCAGGCAGGGCTCTACCACTTGAGTCGCTCTGCCAACCCTTTTTTGCTTTATTTATTTTTCAAGCTGGGTCTCGTGCTTTTTGCTGGTGCAGGCCTGGGCCTTGATCCTCTTACTTAAAACTCCCACATAGCTGGGACCACCTGCCACACCAAGCTTATTTGTTGAGATAGGGTCTTGCTAACTTTTGTGCCTGGGCTAGTTCTCTAAGTAGAATCTTCTGATCTGTACCTCCCAATTAGCTAGGATACAGGTGTGAAGTCTCTGTGCCCAGGCAGAAAAGTGTTTTGTTCTTATATAACAATTCTTCTTGGTGGAATGAGGGTGGAGTTTCACTGACATCACTTGTGCATTTGCCTAAAAGAAAAATAATAGTTGGAGAGTAATGGAAGATAAGAGAAGTAATTGGCCTGTGAGTGGTTCGGTGGTTCATTGAGAATACTCTTTTTTTTTGCCAATTTAGGCATGGGTGCACAGCAGTTTAGAATTGGTGTGTTCCAAATCCCACAGCCTAGTGACCTTTTAACAAGATACAAGTTTTTTTTCCTCAGTGTATTCGGCATAACATCTTTTGTGTGTGTGAACTTTGTTTGGTCTTTGCATGTCTGTCTATATACGATAGTGTTACATTATTACTGCAAATAGTTTTAAAGCTACTCTGAGGAAGTCTGTGACTGTCAGCTCCTGTTCATTTCACTCGCTCTTGTTGAGATGACTTTAAGATGGGGAAGTTACATACTTGCTACGTTGTCGTTTTCGCACTGAATCTTAAAATGTGCGTGGTTCCTTCTGCCTCTGCCCAGAGAATTGCACTGCGCTCTTCTTTGGAGGGTTTGAAGTACTTTGCTCCCCTTTTTCTAACTTTATTGAGGAATATTTCATTCCATAAGTCCATCTTTTAGTTTGTATTTTTAAAATAATTATCAGCATATACTGGTTATACAGGGGGATCCATCGTGATATCTACGTGTGTGCTTCCAATGTGTCTTAGTTGGATTCATCCCCTCCATTGTTCTCCCTCCTCCTCCCTTCTTAGGACAATTTTATTCTGTTTCCATGGATAGACACGAAACATCCACCACATTTCCCTCATCCCCCCTTTCCTTGTGCCCACCCCTCTCCACTGGATCCACCCCTGGAAAGACCTGTTTCACTCTCCTGCCCTTCATTTTCCGGGGTTTTGTTGTACTTCAGGTCTGTGTATATCGTGCTTTGTCAGATTAACCACTGTTACTTACTCTTTCTCTATCGCCACGTTCCCTAGTACTCACCAGCTCACAGTACAGTGCTAATGTGTTTGCTCTCCTGTAAATGTAAATATGTTCACTTAAGTTTTATATTAAATAATAGTCTAAAGTACAAGTTCCCGTTACAGCCTTTCGTAATACAAAACACATTGTAGGACAAATCTCTGTACAGAGGTAGAACTTGTGCTTTAGTAAGCAGTTGCCGTGTTCATCCCAACTGTTGGTCTTTCCAGTTACCTTCGCCGAGCACTGCGACAGTGCTTTCAGAACTTGCCACCTGTCCTTGTGTCAGCCACACACCCATTTTTGAGTATGCATTTTGGAGTTTTTAGTGTGCTTTGAGGCATGCTATTTTCATCAAAACTCACATTGTTACCAGGAGAGAAAGTTACCAACTTACACTGAATTTCCACTCCAGGACCACCACTGATCTGCTTCTGTCCATATAGATCTCTCTTTTCTGGACAGTTAGTATTAATAGAGCCATACAAATACAGTGTTTTCAACTTTTGATCAGTGTTTTCTCTATTTGGTATTGGGCATTGGTAGTTTTTCCTTCTTACTGCTTCTGTAGTATTCCATTGTATGGAACGAATAAACATTTTGTTCATTCATTCACGAAACAATAGACCCTGGACTGTTCAGGCTTCTGAGTCATGGTTACTGCAGGAGTGGAGCCTGTTTTTAGTTCTTTGGGGTGGATGAGACTGCAGTTGCTAGGTTGGATGGTGAACTTAGGTTGAACTTCTAAGGAAATTGCACTTTTTAAAGAGGCTGTGTCCTGTATCTCCACCAGACCTGCACTTCCAGTCTCTCCACATCCTGACAGCATGGGTACTATCGTGCTTTTTAAAACTTTTTAATATTTATTTTATTAGTGTTGTGGTTTACATTGTGACATTTACAATATTTCCTAGTAATATATCATAGTTGAATTCTCCCTCCATCGTTCTCCTTTATCCCCCCCCCCTTCCTGGAATAGTTTCAGCAGGTCTCATTTTTCCATTTTATACATGAGTGCATAATATTCCACCACATTCACCTCCCACACCCTTTCCTTATATCCTCCCCCTCCCACTGGTGCAACCCCCAGGCAGGACCTGTTCTGCCCTCCTGTTCTCTGTTTTTATAAAAGATATTTTTGTTTGTTTAAGATAGTTACACAGGGATTTTCTTGTGACATTTCCATGTATCTATGTATCATAACCCGAATTGGTTCATCTCCTCTATTTTTCTCCTTTCTACCTTAGTCCCCTTCTTATGGTGATTTCAACAGGTTTAAAAATTCTCTATTCATTCTTGTATAGAAAGTACATCAACCATATTCACCTTCCTAACTTCCTGCTTTTACCCTCCCTCTCTCGTATGTGACCTCCCCTTAGTGTGACCTGTTTTTCATGATACTCCTGGATTTGTATTGGGTCTGTATTCCACATATGACAGAAAACCTGTGCTATCTTGCTCTTTTAAGTATTCCAGTGGCCATTATCACTGTTTTTATCTATATTTCTCTAGTGACTAATAATGTTGAGAATACTCTCCTGTGTATTCAGGTATTTGTTCAGCTCCTCAATGTGCTGTCTTTATTACTGAGTTGAGAGAGTTCTGTACATATTCTAAATACAAGCCCTTTATCACAAGTGATTTGCAATTGATTTCTCTAAGTCTGTGCCTACCTTTGATGTTTTAAGGTGTTGTCTTTTATAGCACAAAAGTCTAGTTTCTATGAAGTCCAGTTGATAAAGAAAAAGTTCTTTTATGGATTGGATGTTTGGTACCTTCTCTGAGAATACTTTGCCTAACCCAAAAGTCACAAAAATTTTTCTCTCATGTTCTACTCGTTGTATAGTTTGACCTCTTCAAATCGGGGCTGTCATCCATTTTGAGTTATTTTTAGTGTGTCATGTGGGCAAGCATCTAAGTTCAACCTTTGACTGGATAATTTCATATTTGCCTATCCCAGAACTATTTGCTGAAAAGACTGTCTTTTTTTCTGGCAGTAGGACTTGAACTCAGGGCTTTACACTTGCAAAGCAGGAACTCTACCACTTGAGCCACACCTCCAGTACATACTGCTCTTATTTTGGAGGAGGGGGTCACTCAAATTATTTGTGTGGGCTGGTCTCATACCACAATACTCTCGAACTTAGCTTCCCCAAGTAGCTGGAATTATAGGTGTGAGCCACTGGCACCCAGCTTTCCTCACTCCCTCCCCCTCTCTCTTTCCTTTCTTTTCAATGCAGCCCAGGCTGGCCTGGAATTCGTGGTCCCCTGCCTCAGCCTCCC